TTTTGCCCGCCTTTTGCCCGCCTTTTGCCCGCCTTTTGCCCGCCTTTTGCCCGCCTTTTGCCCGCCTTTTGCCCGCCTTTTGCCCGCCTTTTGCCCGCCTTTTGCCCGCCTTTTGCCCGCCTTTTGCCCGCCTTTTGCCCGCCTTTTGCCCGCCTTTTGCCCGCCTTTTGCCCGCCTTTTGCCCGCCTTTTGCCCGCCTTTTGCCCGCCTTTTGCCCGCCTTTTGCCCGCCTTTTGCCCGCCTTTTGCCCGCCTTTTGCCCGCCTTTTGCCCGCCTTTTGCCCGCCTTTTGCCCGCCTTTTGCCCGCCTTTTGCCCGCCTTTTGCCCGCCTTTTGCCCGCCTTTTGCCCGCCTTTTGCCCGCATTTCTCTTCACTTTCCCCCGGCCCCTTTTCCCCTTTCCTCTTCTTTCTTCTCATGTCCTGTTTTTTTCTTCCAGGTCTGCTTTTTACTCTCCCTTCCCCCTTTTATCTCCCTGTTTTTTGCCCATTTGTCCCCCTCTTCTTCTCTCTCCTTTTCTCCTCCTCATCTCCTTTTCTTTTTCCTCCCTTTCTCATTCTTCTTTTCCCCTTTCCCCTCTTGTCTTCCTTTCCCTTTGGCCCCCTTTACTCTCCTCTTCTTCGCCCCCTTCTTCTTCTTTTTGCCCCCATCCCCACTTCCCCTTTCACCCCCTTTACCCCTTTTCCTCCCCATCTCCCTTTTCTCCCCGTCCCCCATTTTTGTTTTCCTTTTCCTCTTTTTCTCCCCCTTCCTTCCCCCCCCCCCCCCTCGGCCCCATTCCTTTTTCCTTCCCCATCGTCCCCTTTTCTTCCAAAGCCCATTCCATTCGCAGTGCGATAGCGGCTCCTGCGAGCAGCCGAGCCCCGAGCAGCAGCGCTGCGTCTTGGCTCCCCCATTGCCCGCTGCTGAGCTCTTCCTGCCCTGGCTCCTCATTGGCTGAGCGCTGCTGCTTCCCCTTCCCCTTTTTGGCGACGCTTCACCACTCGCACAAACAGCCAGCAGACGCACATCTTTGCTGCCCAAACGCACGCAGGCCTTCATTGCTTCATTGCTTTCTCACCACTGCTCTCTTAACCAACGTGCGGTCGGAACTTGCGGCTCTCAGGTTTTCAGCATCAACACAGACACAGCCTCTGAATTGCTTCATTACCCCCCTGCCATTTGTGACCTTCCCGCTGCTCGTCGTTCTGCTCATCCGGCAGTCCTTCTGCAGTGCTGAGCTCGGCAGGAGGACAGAGGGGAGCAGCTGGGAGCCTCACAGCCTCCTCGCGTTCCCACGCAGCGGGACAGCGCTGCTGCGTGCGATGGCCCTGATTCCTCCCTCGTCCCCCTTTTCCTTTTTTTCCTCCCTCGTCCCCCATTTCCATTTGTCCTTCTCATGCACTTCCTGCTATCCCGCCTTATCCCCGCCTTCCCTCATCTCTTCTTGCACTCTTTGACCCCTTTTTCTCCCCCCATCCTTATTTCTCTTCACATTCTCCTGTTCTTTTTTCCCCTTTCCTCTTCTTCGTCCCCAGCTCCGCTTCCCCCACCTCACGTCCCCTTTCTTCTGTCCCTGTACCCCATTTTTCCCTTTTTTTCCCCACCCCCTTGTTTTGTTCTCTGCTGTCCCCTATTCCCTTTTTCCTCTTTGCTCTCTCTCTCCTTTCTTCCCCCTCATCCTGTTACAGAAGAGAGTGAAGGAATGATGGACAAGCTGGTGCAGGATGGCAGCAGCAGGGTGGCAGCCCAGGTGGGTGCGATGAAGCCGGGGGTGGGCCTGGGTGGAGCCCGAGCCCTGCCTGAGCTCATTTAAGGGCTGGGAATGGCAGGGCTCAGATGTGTGCCTGGGCTTCTGGTGTCAGTGAGGTTGGGTGAGCAGTGAGGTTTGGGAGGGACCGACTTGTTGGCCTTGAGATTGATGCCCAGCTCCTTGCTCGTCGCATTCTGTTTGGCTCGAGGTTCCGGACACGGCTTGCTCTTCTAAGCAGTGTGAGGACTGCGAGAAAGACTTTGTTGGATGCAGCAGGAAAGCACAGCCGCTGCTGGTGGATGCCAGTGTCCGCTCCTGAGTCTCTGCGCCAAGGTACGTGGATCCCTGCCGTCTCCTGTTTCACACGCTCGCTCAGGTCCTTTGGGGCTTGGTGTCGCTTGTCCCTCGTGCTCCCGTTGCTGTCACCGCGTGTTGTTCCTTTCCCCATGCTCAGCTCTGCCCAGTGCTGATGGGATGCCAGTGCCACCTGCTGCTCTTAAGAAAAGGTAGGTTTGATTTCTTTTGGTTTCCATAGCATTTGCTACACTTTCATTCTGTCTCTCTTCTTTTTTTTTTTTTTTTTTTTCTTTTTGCTCTCAATAAATGGCAGGTTCAATTCCTTTTGGCTCCTGTAGTGTTTGCTACACGTGTGTTCTGTTTCTCTTCTCTTTTTTCCATGTTGCCTGGCGGTGCCTGGCTGGAGTTCCCATGAGCCCCGGGCCCACTTGTGACCAAGTGAGGTGCCAAAAACAGAGGTATCTCCTAAACAGGCTTGTGCTGAGTGCTGTCCTCGTCTTGGGCTTTGTCCAATGCCCACCTTTCTTTTCTAGCCCACTTTGTTGAGGATGGCGTGTGAGGCTTTCTTCTTTCTTTGTAGGATTGGCGACTCCAGCCCCAGAAGTAGCAGGCATTTGGGGATGTCCAAGGTTCCGCAGTGAACGTGTCCTGTTCCTGGTAAAGGTGTGGGCGTTCCTGGACACGAAGGTATCTATCTTCATGCCTTGCCCATGTGCCCAGTCCCCCACCAGATGCTGTTTGCCTTTTGGCCCCCCTGATTTGCTGTACTGCTGCGCCCTGATCCTTGCAGAGGGGTAAGTGACACCTTTGTCCCTTCCGGAAAGCGCTCTCCACTTTCCTCTCGTTGGTCACCGGCAGCGCCGTCCTTCTCTCGCCAGGCTCTCATTGGTCACCGGCAGCGCCGTCCCGCCCTCGCCAGCCTGTGATTGGTCAGCGGCAGTGCCGTCCCGCCCTCATGTGTCTCTCATTGGTGATCGACAGCACCGTCCCGCACTATCAGCGTCTCATTGGTCATCGACAGCTCCATCCCGCCTCCGCCAGCATCTCATTGGACAGCAGCAGCCTTTTGCCCGCCTTTTGCCCGCCTTTTGCCCGCCTTTTGCCCGCCTTTTGCCCGCCTTTTGCCCGCCTTTTGCCCGCCTTTTGCCCGCCTTTTGCCCGCCTTTTGCCCGCCTTTTGCCCGCCTTTTGCCCGCCTTTTGCCCGCCTTTTGCCCGCCTTTTGCCCGCCTTTTGCCCGCCTTTTGCCCGCCTTTTGCCCGCCTTTTGCCCGCCTTTTGCCCGCCTTTTGCCCGCATTTCTCTTCACTTTCCCCCGGCCCCTTTTCCCCTTTCCTCTTCTTTCTTCTCATGTCCTGTTTTTTTCTTCCAGGTCTGCTTTTTACTCTCCCTTCCCCCTTTTATCTCCCTGTTTTTTGCCCATTTGTCCCCCTCTTCTTCTCTCTCCTTTTCTCCTCCTCATCTCCTTTTCTTTTTCCTCCCTTTCTCATTCTTCTTTTCCCCTTTCCCCTCTTGTCTTCCTTTCCCTTTGGCCCCCTTTACTCTCCTCTTCTTCGCCCCCTTCTTCTTCTTTTTGCCCCCATCCCCACTTCCCCTTTCACCCCCTTTACCCCTTTTCCTCCCCATCTCCCTTTTCTCCCTGTCCCCCATTTTTGTTTTCCTTTTCCTCTTTTTCTCCCCCTTCCTTCCCCCCCCCCCCCCTCGGCCCCATTCCTTTTTCCTTCCCCATCGTCCCCTTTTCTTCCAAAGCCCATTCCATTCGCAGTGCGATAGCGGCTCCTGCGAGCAGCCGAGCCCCGAGCAGCAGCGCTGCGTCTTGGCTCCCCCATTGCCCGCTGCTGAGCTCTTCCTGCCCTGGCTCCTCATTGGCTGAGCGCTGCTGCTTCCCCTTCCCCTTTTTGGCGACGCTTCACCACTCGCACAAACAGCCAGCAGACGCACATCTTTGCTGCCCAAACGCACGCAGGCCTTCATTGCTTCATTGCTTTCTCACCACTGCTCTCTTAACCAACGTGCGGTCGGAACTTGCGGCTCTCAGGTTTTCAGCATCAACACAGACACAGCCTCTGAATTGCTTCATTACCCCCCTGCCATTTGTGACCTTCCCGCTGCTCGTCGTTCTGCTCATCCGGCAGTCCTTCTGCAGTGCTGAGCTCGGCAGGAGGACAGAGGGGAGCAGCTGGGAGCCTCATAGCCTCCTCGCGTTCCCACGCAGCGGGACAGCGCTGCTGCGTGCGATGGCCCTGATTCCTCCCTCGTCCCCCTTTTCCTTTTTTTCCTCCCTCGTCCCCCATTTCCATTTGTCCTTCTCATGCACTTCCTGCTATCCCGCCTTATCCCCGCCTTCCCTCATCTCTTCTTGCACTCTTTGACCCCTTTTTCTCCCCCCATCCTTATTTCTCTTCACATTCTCCTGTTCTTTTTTCCCCTTTCCTCTTCTTCGTCCCCAGCTCCGCTTCCCCCACCTCACGTCCCCTTTCTTCTGTCCCTGTACCCCATTTTTCCCTTTTTTTCCCCACCCCCTTGTTTTGTTCTCTGCTGTCCCCTATTCCCTTTTTCCTCTTTGCTCTCTCTCTCCTTTCTTCCCCCTCATCCTGTTACAGAAGAGAGTGAAGGAATGATGGACAAGCTGGTGCAGGATGGCAGCAGCAGGGTGGCAGCCCAGGTGGGTGCGATGAAGCCGGGGGTGGGCCTGGGTGGAGCCCGAGCCCTGCCTGAGCTCATTTAAGGGCTGGGAATGGCAGGGCTCAGATGTGTGCCTGGGCTTCTGGTGTCAGTGAGGTTGGGTGAGCAGTGAGGTTTGGGAGGGACCGACTTGTTGGCCTTGAGATTGATGCCCAGCTCCTTGCTCGTCGCATTCTGTTTGGCTCGAGGTTCCGGACACGGCTTGCTCTTCTAAGCAGTGTGAGGACTGCGAGAAAGACTTTGTTGGATGCAGCAGGAAAGCACAGCCGCTGCTGGTGGATGCCAGTGTCCGCTCCTGAGTCTCTGCGCCAAGGTACGTGGATCCCTGCCGTCTCCTGTTTCACACGCTCGCTCAGGTCCTTTGGGGCTTGGTGTCGCTTGTCCCTCGTGCTCCCGTTGCTGTCACCGCGTGTTGTTCCTTTCCCCATGCTCAGCTCTGCCCAGTGCTGATGGGATGCCAGTGCCACCTGCTGCTCTTAAGAAAAGGTAGGTTTGATTTCTTTTGGTTTCCATAGCATTTGCTACACTTTCATTCTGTCTCTCTTCTTTTTTTTTTTTTTTTTTTCTTTTTGCTCTCAATAAATGGCAGGTTCAATTCCTTTTGGCTCCTGTAGTGTTTGCTACACGTGTGTTCTGTTTCTCTTCTCTTTTTTCCATGTTGCCTGGCGGTGCCTGGCTGGAGTTCCCATGAGCCCCGGGCCCACTTGTGACCAAGTGAGGTGCCAAAAACAGAGGTATCTCCTAAACAGGCTTGTGCTGAGTGCTGTCCTCGTCTTGGGCTTTGTCCAATGCCCACCTTTCTTTTCTAGCCCACTTTGTTGAGGATGGCGTGTGAGGCTTTCTTCTTTCTTTGTAGGATTGGCGACTCCAGCCCCAGAAGTAGCAGGCATTTGGGGATGTCCAAGGTTCCGCAGTGAACGTGTCCTGTTCCTGGTAAAGGTGTGGGCGTTCCTGGACACGAAGGTATCTATCTTCATGCCTTGCCCATGTGCCCAGTCCCCCACCAGATGCTGTTTGCCTTTTGGCCCCCCTGATTTGCTGTACTGCTGCGCCCTGATCCTTGCAGAGGGGTAAGTGACACCTTTGTCCCTTCCGGAAAGCGCTCTCCACTTTCCTCTCGTTGGTCACCGGCAGCGCCGTCCTTCTCTCGCCAGGCTCTCATTGGTCACCGGCAGCGCCGTCCCGCCCTCGCCAGCCTGTGATTGGTCAGCGGCAGTGCCGTCCCGCCCTCATGTGTCTCTCATTGGTGATCGACAGCACCGTCCCGCACTATCAGCGTCTCATTGGTCATCGACAGCTCCATCCCGCCTCCGCCAGCATCTCATTGGACAGCAGCAGCCTTTTGCCCGCCTTTTGCCCGCCTTTTGCCCGCCTTTTGCCCGCCTTTTGCCCGCCTTTTGCCCGCATTTCTCTTCACTTTCCCCCGGCCCCTTTTCCCCTTTCCTCTTCTTTCTTCTCATGTCCTGTTTTTTTCTTCCAGGTCTGCTTTTTACTCTCCCTTCCCCCTTTTATCTCCCTGTTTTTTGCCCATTTGTCCCCCTCTTCTTCTCTCTCCTTTTCTCCTCCTCATCTCCTTTTCTTTTTCCTCCCTTTCTCATTCTTCTTTTCCCCTTTCCCCTCTTGTCTTCCTTTCCCTTTGGCCCCCTTTACTCTCCTCTTCTTCGCCCCCTTCTTCTTCTTTTTGCCCCCATCCCCACTTCCCCTTTCACCCCCTTTACCCCTTTTCCTCCCCATCTCCCTTTTCTCCCTGTCCCCCATTTTTGTTTTCCTTTTCCTCTTTTTCTCCCCCTTCCTTCCCCCCCCCCCCCCTCGGCCCCATTCCTTTTTCCTTCCCCATCGTCCCCTTTTCTTCCAAAGCCCATTCCATTCGCAGTGCGATAGCGGCTCCTGCGAGCAGCCGAGCCCCGAGCAGCAGCGCTGCGTCTTGGCTCCCCCATTGCCCGCTGCTGAGCTCTTCCTGCCCTGGCTCCTCATTGGCTGAGCGCTGCTGCTTCCCCTTCCCCTTTTTGGCGACGCTTCACCACTCGCACAAACAGCCAGCAGACGCACATCTTTGCTGCCCAAACGCACGCAGGCCTTCATTGCTTCATTGCTTTCTCACCACTGCTCTCTTAACCAACGTGCGGTCGGAACTTGCGGCTCTCAGGTTTTCAGCATCAACACAGACACAGCCTCTGAATTGCTTCATTACCCCCCTGCCATTTGTGACCTTCCCGCTGCTCGTCGTTCTGCTCATCCGGCAGTCCTTCTGCAGTGCTGAGCTCGGCAGGAGGACAGAGGGGAGCAGCTGGGAGCCTCATAGCCTCCTCGCGTTCCCACGCAGCGGGACAGCGCTGCTGCGTGCGATGGCCCTGATTCCTCCCTCGTCCCCCTTTTCCTTTTTTTCCTCCCTCGTCCCCCATTTCCATTTGTCCTTCTCATGCACTTCCTGCTATCCCGCCTTATCCCCGCCTTCCCTCATCTCTTCTTGCACTCTTTGACCCCTTTTTCTCCCCCCATCCTTATTTCTCTTCACATTCTCCTGTTCTTTTTTCCCCTTTCCTCTTCTTCGTCCCCAGCTCCGCTTCCCCCACCTCACGTCCCCTTTCTTCTGTCCCTGTACCCCATTTTTCCCTTTTTTTCCCCACCCCCTTGTTTTGTTCTCTGCTGTCCCCTTGTTACAGTACGCGCCCGTTCCGCTTCCCCAGGTGACCGCAGCTTGGCCAATTACCGAGGTTACACCAATATGATGAGCAGTAAAATGGCGTTTATTACACGTATTAACTACCTTATATTGCTTAATTACTTCGTCTACGCCCCTAGGGGCCTACATCACACATCAATCATTAGAGCAGGGAGGGAGTTTAGCACATCAGACCCCGCGGGGAGGTCTCGCAATTTCGCAGTTGCTGACAACATCTCCCCCTCTCCATGCTCAAAAAAGCATACTACAACTCGAGAGGACCCTAACCACGTACACCCCGAAATCCCCGCTTTGCGCCTATACATGCCATTGTCCTCTCCGTTAAGCCTTGCCCCGTTACAACCCGATTCGCGAAACATCCTATCCTAATAGCCTATAATCTATCAACTTAATAACAACCTATTTAACTTAATAATCCTAAAATCTTAAAATCTTATATCTTAAAATCTTATATAAATTCTACCTTAACGTTACAACCGTCTATTAGCCTTAAAGTAAATCTTACAAGAAACGATGCAGTGTATCCCTATTTAACACTAAATCAAGCTGGGACACTTGCTTTAGCAAGCGCCATGTCTTTATATATAATATAAGAACTAAGCATAATAATATTAAACCTAATACAACAACTACCGGATGCAGTATAAAGTTGAATATTCCCGTTGCTGTGGGAGACCAACCAAAAAGAACCTCCCACCAGTGATGTTCTCCAGCCTTCATTACTCTCTCCAAGACATGATGTATCTCTTTCACGTCATGATGAATGGTGATCAAGGTCTTTTGTCCGTTATCTTTGATGCGATTTAATAGTCGATGCAGATCATCATGTTGTAGAAGCTTCCTTACTAAGGCGAGATTCATCCCAATTAGCGCTGGACGCAAATCTTTGATCAGAGTGTAGTTGGACTGCAGAAGCTGATATGAAATAATAGGAACTGTATAGTTAAAATCACATCCTAAAATATTAATAAAATTACAAACACAAAGATTTGAATGATTGGTAGTATCCACAATCATATCCCCTATTTGTATGGAATTGCAATGAGTTCTGATGCAAGCACATCCTTTTCCAATATATACAAGCATTGATTTGAACATCCTACCAGGTTGGATCTCAAAGTGACAGATATTCTGTTCAGTGTCAAGACAGATATCTTGAGTCTCAAATATATTACTTTCACAAATAAATCCTCGTTGTTCTCGCATGGCACATGAGCTAACGTCCACAGTTTGCCATTTCTCATTCTTTTGAAGAGCCCATATCCGATGTTCAATTGGATACAGAGTAGTCTCATCATGATTTAATCCTAGAGCTACGATTGGATATATCGTGTATGCTGAAGCATTACTTATCGTCAAAACGAAAGCCATGGCATAATTGGTGACAGGGTCATAGGTGAAGTTAACTAAATGCCACCATGATTGAAACTTCCTTTCAAATCTATTTGCATTGTCCCAAATTACTTTTCTAATTTCAGTGGGTATAGTGCCATCCTCACCTTCTCTCACGATTGTTGCTGCTATAAATTGCATCCACATCTGGGCCTGGATGCAACTGAGGGCTAAAGAGGTGTTACCTTGGACTGCTGAAAGCGCATCCATAATCAGCTGATGATCTTTTCTATCTATCCTTTCCCATTGCGGTAATACATCTGATAAAAGCCATTGACTTGTTCCTAGAGCCGATAGGGATGACTGTAGAGGATGTTGTAGTTTATGTATGTTACTTGTAATGGTATTCAATTTACTCATGAGTATTTCAGTGTCTATACTATTTAAGACTCCTAAACCTGTTCCCAGAATACTGGAAACATCTCTTCTTATTCTTCTACTTGTATCAAATGACTGTTGATGAAGCCATGCTGACCATCCAGCATATGACATGCCTAAAAACAATGCACAATCTGGTTTGATAGCTGAAACATTAGTTTGCAAAAATAACATCACTCGTTTAAGGGACCATGTTGGATTAAAGATTACCTGTTGCTGACCTGTATTCTTTATAGTGTATGGTCCAATCTGATAAATTTGTGGAGAGATAACACCCTTCAGTCTCCTAGTGGGAGTTATATATGGGACATCAGTTGTATGTTGATTAAAGAGATCCACCTTAAATTTAAAAGATCGTCCTAAGGTGTCTTGTGTCCAAAGGCACGTTATCATTACAGGTTGGGTTAGGGTGAAATTATACTGACAATCTCCCTGTTCAGTAACACAGGATTTGCGATCCCTTACGCCTGATATAATATCTGTTTTTGAAATTTGAGTAGCCTTCTTGTATTGAGATCCATTTACCATCCAACATTTTACTTCTATATTTTGCCCAAGTTTACCCCAAATTCGTGGAGATCTGGTGACATTATCCCATCCCCATTCACTTCTGTCATATAGTCTATTTTCATGTAACACTACGGTCAGCAAAGTTAAGTTATTCACTGGTCCCATCATTCCTGTATATTCTTCATGACCATGCCATAAGTCACTGTCTGTTATGCTCTCTCCAGGAGAAGTAGCTGTAAATAGCAAAAGACACACAGATAACAACACAGGAGAGATTGATCTCGACGTTATCAGTGGCTCTTTATCTGCCTCCTTTCCTGAGTTGGGCTTTGGCTTCGGTCGTGGGTTTGGTGTTTTCTCTTGACGAGTTCCAAACAGCAATGCCCTGACGTGCAACATGTCTGGCTCCGCCACAGAATTGGCACCGCCTCTCTAGTCCTTGCCCCATCCTCATAGGGCACTGCGCCTTGAAATGGCCACGCTGCCCACACCTAAAACACGGGCCTTTATCCTTTCCTCCCCCAGCCTGAGTGACTGCCATTATCGCGATCTTAACTGCAGAATTAACCGAAGCAGCCATTCCTTGCATGGCGGCTGCTAATCCCTCATTAGTTAATGGTGCGACCTTTTGATGATCTAACACATACTTAATAAGCTCCCCTGGGGAAGTTAGGGTGCCCGGTGCTGCTCTGATGATTTGCTGGATGTCTGGCAATGATTTCTGCTTAAGACATTCCATTATGACTGCGGATTGGACCTCCCTTGGGAGATCAGATCCCTCCACTGCATGAATTAGACGATTCGCAAAATCAGAAAATGACTCAGAGGGTCCCTGCTTTATGTCTGCCCACGGAAGCACAGGTTCCGCAACCTTAGCTAATTCTCGCAGGGCTTGAAGAGCTGCAGCTGTAACGGCTGCCAGCTCTCCTGCTCTGAGCATCGCTGCTTGGCCCTCCGGGGATCCCACCATTCCATCTGCCCGGCCCTGAAGACGTACAAGATTAGTTCTATCGCCTCTGCGCTGGCCGTTGGCTGGATGGCGGGGGTCACGGGTGGCAGCAGCCACCACAGCTTCAAGTAATCTATCCCATTCATCATGCCACAGGGTGTATTGTACGGGCTCAAGAATAACATGCATAAGGTTCACCACATCATATGGCAAAAGACTAGAAGCCATAAGAGCTTCCACTGCTGCCATAGTGACAGGGGAACGCAGGCCTTTGCTCTTAACTAAATCCGCAAGACGAGTAACCACTTTGGAATCCAGCTGGACCTTCTGGTCTCATCACCACCGGCAAAGTGAGAGCGACACCTGCTGGATCTGCAGCCTGTATGTCCTCCCTCACTCGAGCCCAATCAGCGAGGGTAGGCGGGCCCCATGAAGCTGTCGATATGGGACCACGCCCCTCCTGGGCAGACCCCGAGGCCATCCCCGTCGGAACACCCCCCCCCCACAGCAATGCTGTGCGGGACAATCCACGCCCCGTGGGGGGTGGCTGCAGCAGCAGGCAGAATCGGGCAGTAGGTGAGTCCCGCCCCCACTGTCGCATTCCACAGGTCGTATCACAGCTCCCCCAGACATCTCTCCTTCCTCAAGGACCCTCTTATCAACTGTGCTAGAAGTTGTACTGCTTTCCTCCACCGGCCCCCCTTCCCTGTTATCTTTACAGGGCTTAAGTGAAGGATATATGCTGCGAGCCGGGTATGGAGGTGGGTCCTCCTCTTTATGGTATGACCGCTCCTGCTTCACTTCGTTCTTCTTTATCTCCAGGGTTGTTGTTTCTGGTGGGGCCGAAGGAGTCAGCGCCATCTTGCCCTCCGGCGAATCTGTAGGGAAGACAAGACCCCCCCCTGGCCCTAATCCCAGCAGCTCCTTAGCACGGTCACCTGCGATCTTCTCCTCCTTTGCTTTCTTAAGAGCTATTAAAATCAATCCCCACACCTTAAACTCTGCTGCTTTCTGAGTAAGCATTGCCCTCTGTGAGAGCGCGGCAGTAAACGAATCCCATTTATCAGAATCATATAAGTCAGAAGGGGATGATAATAGCCCCTCTTTCTCCAGCAACGAAAGTGTCGCCGAAATCTCCTTCTTAGAAAGAACATTTTTCCCGCAATAAATTTTGCATGCATGTAAAATCACCTTTATAACGGCTTCCATAACGCCTCCGGCCGAGCATACACCTGGCCTCTTCTGGCGTCTTTCCCCTAGCGTCCTAGGGGAATCTTGGCTCCTTTTCCCGAGCCTCCCGCCTGACGAGGAGTAATGGCCACCTCCTCCCCGCCCCCGGGCTTCCACTATTCCGCAGATTTGAATTTACCGCTACTGCAGTGGGTTCCTGCTACTGGCAGACAGCTGACTCACTCCCAGGGATCACGTCAGGGGTCACCACTTGTTACAGTACGCGCCCGTTCCGCTTCCCCAGGAGACCGCAGCTTGGCCAATTACCGAGGTGACACCAATATGATGAGCAGTAAAATGGCGTTTATTACACGTATTAACTACCTTATATAGCTTAATTACTTCGTCTACGCCCCTAGGGGCCTACATCACACATCAATCATTAGAGCAGGGAGGGAGTTTAGCACATCAGACCCCGCGGGGGGGTCTCGCAATTTCGCAGTTGCTGACAACATCCCTTATTCCCTTTTTCCTCTTTGCTCTCTCTCTCCTTTCTTTCCCCTCATCCTGTTACAGAAGAGACTGAAGGAATGATGGACAAGCTGGTGCAGGATGGCAGCAGCAGGGTGGAAGCCCAGGTGGGTGCGATGAAGCCGGGGGTGGGAGTGGCTGGAGCCAGAGCCCTGAATGAGCTCATTTAAGGGCTGGGAATGGCAGGGCTCACATGTGTGCCTGGGCTTCTGCTGTCAGTGACTTTGGGTGAGCAGTGAGGTTTGGGAGGGACCGACTTGTTGGCCTTGAGATTGATGCCCAGCTCCTTGCTCGTCACATTCTGTTTGGCTCGAGGTTCCGGACACGGCTTGCTCTTCTAAGCAGCGTGAGGACTGCGAGAAAGACTTTGTTGGATGCAGCAGGAAAGCACAGCCGCTGGTGGATGCCAGTGTCTGCTCCTGAGGCTCTGCGCCAAGGTACGTGGATCCCTGCCGTCTCCTGTTTCACACGCTCGCTCAGGTCCTTTGGGGCTTGGTGTCGCTTGTCCCTCGTGCTCCCGTTGCTGTCACCGCGTGTTGTTCCTTTGCCCATGCTCAGCTCTGCCCAGTGCTGATGGGATGCCAGTGCCACCTGCTGCTCTTAAGAAAAGGTACGTTTGATTTCTTTTGGTTTCCATAGCATTTGCTACACTTTCATTCTGTCTCTCTTCTTTTTTTTTTTTTTTTTTTGTTCTTTTTGTTCTCAATAAATGGCAGGTTCAATTCCTTTTGGCTCCTGTAGTATTTGCTACACGTGTGTTCTGTTTCTCTTCTCTTTTTTCCATGTTGCCTGGCGGTGCCTCGCTGGAGTTCCCATGAGCCCCGGGCCCACTTGTGATCAAGTGAGGTGCCAAAAAAAGAGGTGTCTCCTAAACAGGCTTCTGCTGAGTGCTGTCCTCGTCTTGGGCTTTGTCCAATGCCCACCTTTCTTTTCTAACCCACTTTGTTGAGGACGGCGTGTGAGGCTTTCTTCTTTCTTTGTAGGATTGGGGACTCCACCACCAGAAGTAGCAGGCATTTTGGGATGTCCAAGGTTCTGCAGTGAACGTGTCCTGTTCCTGATAAAGGTGTGGGCGTTCCTGGACACGAAGGTATCTATCTTCATGCCTTGCCCATGTGCCCAGTTCCCCACCAGATGCTGTTTGCCTTTTGGCCCCCCTGATTTGCTGCACTGCTGCGCCCTGATCCTTGCAGAGGGGTAAGTGACACCTTTGTCCCTTCCAGAAAGCGCTCTCCACTTTCCTCTCGTTGGTCATTGGCAGCACCGTCCTTCTCTCGCCAGCCTCTCATTGGTCACCGGCAGTGCCGTCCCGCCCTCGGCAGCCTGTGATTGCTCACCGGCAGCGCCGTCCCGCCCTCATGTGTCTCTCATTGGTGATCGACAGCACAGTCCCGCCCTATCAGCATCTCATTGCTCATCGGTAGCGCTGTCCCGCCCCCGCCAGTCTTTCATTGGTCATCGACAGCTCCATCCCTCCTCCGCCAGCATCTCATTGGACAGCAGCAGCCTTTTGCCCCGCCTTTTGCCCCGCCTTTTGCCCCGCCTTTTGCCCCGCCTTTCTCTTCGCCTTCCCCCGGCCATTTTTCCCATTTCCTTTTCCTTTTTCTCATGTCCTGTTTTTTCTTTCCAGGTCTCCTTTTTACTCTCCCTTCCCCCTTTTATCTCCCTGTTTTTTGCCCATTTGTCCCCCTCTTCTCCTCTCTCCGTTTCTCCTCCTCATCTCCTTTTCTTTTTCCTCCCTTTCTCATTCTTCTTTTCCCCTTTCCCCTCTTGTCTTCCTTTCCGTTTGGCCCCCTTTACTCTCCTCCTCTTCGCCCCCTTCTGCTTCTTTTTGCCCCCATCCCCACTTCCCCTTTCACCCCCTTTTCCTCCCCATCTCCCTTTTCTCCCCGTCCCCCTTTTTTGTTTTCCTTTTCCTCTTTTTCTCCCCCTTCCTTCCTTTCCCCCCCCCCTCGGCCCCATTCCTTTTTCCTTCCCCATCGTCCCCTTTTCTTCCGAGCCCATTCCATTCCCAGTGCAATAGCGGCTCCTGCGAGCAGCCGAGCCCCGAGCAGCAGCGCTGCGTCTTGGCTCCCCCGTTGCCCGCTGCTGCGCTCTTCCTGCCCTGGCTCCTCATTGGCTGAGCGCTGCAGCTTCCCCTTTTTGGCGACGCTTCACCACTCGCACAAACAGCCAGCAGACGCACATCTTTGCCGCCCAAACACACGCACGCCTTCATTGCTTCATTGCTTTCTCACCACTGCTCTCGTCACGAACGTGCGGTCGGAACTTGCGGCTCTCAGGTTTTCAGCATCAACACAGACACAGCCTCTGAATTGCTTCATTACCCCCTGCCATTCGTGCCCTTCCCGCTGCTCGTCGTTCTGCTCATCCGGCCGATTTTCCGCAGCGCTGAGCTCGGCAGGAGGACAGAGGGGAGCAGCTGGGAGCCTCACAGCCTCCTCGCGTTTCCACGCAGCGGGACAGCGCTGCTGCGTGCGACGGCCATGATTCCTCTTTCGTCTCCCTTTTCCCTTTTTCCTCCCTCGTCCCCCTTTTCTTTTGTCCTTCTCATGCACTTCCTGCTATCCCGCCTTCTCCCCACCTTCCTTCATCTCTTCTTGCACTCTTTGACCCCTTTTTCTCCCCCCATCTGGAAAGCGCTCTCCACTTTCCTCTCATTGGTCATCGGCAGAGCCGTCCCGCTCCACCAGCGTATCATTGGTCATCAGCAGCGCGGTCCTGCCTTCATGTGCCTCTCATTGGTCACCAGCAGCACCGTCCCACCTTCATGTGCCTCTCATTGGTCATCGAAAGCGCTGCCCCATCTTCGCCAGTCTTTCATTGGCCATGGGCAGCTCTGTGCCACCTCGGCCAGCAACTCATTGGTCAGCAGCAGCCTTTTGCCCCGCCTTTTGCCCCACCTTTTGCCCCGCCTTACTCTTCAGCTTCCCCGGGCCCCTTTTCCCCTTTCCTTTTCCTTCTTCTCATGTCCTGTGTTTTCCTTCCAGGTCCCCTTTTTACTGTCCCTTCCCCCTTTTTATCTCCCCTTTTTGGCCCTTATTCCTACCTGTTCTCCTCTCTCTTTTCTCCTCCTCATCTCCTTTTCTTTTTCCTCCCTTTCCCCTTTTGTCTTCCATTCCATTTTGACCCTTTTCCTCTCCTCTTCTTCGCCCTCTTCTTCTTCTTTTTGCCCCCATCCCCTCTTCCCCTTTCGCCTCCTTTACCCCTTTTTCTCCCCATCACCCTTTTTGCCCCGTCCCCCTTTTTTGTTTTCCTTTTCCTCTTCTTCACCCCCTTCCTTTTCCCCCCCTTGACCCTATTCCTTGTTCCTTCCCCATCGTCCCCTTTTCCCCCAAAGCCGATCCCGTTCGCAGTGCGATGGCGGCTCCTGCGAGCAGCCGAGCCCCGAGCAGCAGCGCTGCGTCTTGGCTCCCCCATTGCCCGCTGCTGCGCTCTTCCTGCCCTGGCTCCTCATTGGCTGAGCGCAACAGCTTCCCCTTTTTGGCGACGCTTCACCACTCGCACAAACAGCCAGCAGACGCACATCTTTGCCGCCCAAACACACGCAGGCCTTCATTGCTTCATTGCTTTCTCACCACTGCTCTCGTCCCGAACGTGCGGTCGGAACTTGCGGCTCTCAGGTTTTCAGCATCAACGCAGACACAGCCTCTGAATTGCTTCATTACCCCCTGCCATTCGTGCCCTTCCCGCTGCTCGTCGTTCTGCTCATCCGGCCGATTTTCCGCAGCGCTGAGCTCGGCAGGAGGACAGAGGGGAGCAGCTGGGATCCTCACAGCCTCCTCGTGTTCCCACGCAGCGGGACAGCGCTGCTGCATGCGACGGCCCTGATTCCTCACTCGTCCCCCTTTCCCTTTTTTTCTTCCCTCGTTCCCCTTTTCCTTTGATCCTTCTCATGCACTTCCTGCCATCCTGCCTTTTCCCCGCCTTCACTCATCTCTACTTGCACACTTTGCCCCATTTTTCTCCCCCCATCCTTATTTCTCTTCACCTTCCCCAGCCCCTTTTCCACTTTCCTTTTCCTTGTTCTCATGTCCTGGGAGAAAAGGCGGGGAAAAGGCTTTCCGGAAGGGACAAAGGTGTCACTTACCCCTCTGCAAGGGTCAGGGCGCAGCAGTGCAGCAAATCAGGGAGTCCAAAAGGCAAACAGCATCTGGTGGGGGACTGGGCACATGGGCAAGGCATGAAGATAGATACCTTCCTGTCCAGGAACGCCCACACCTTTACCAGGAACAGGACACGTTCACTGCGGAACCTTGGACATCCCAAAATGCCTGCTACTTCTAGTGGTATAGTCGCCAATCCTACAAAGAAAGAAGAACGCCTCACACGCCGTCCTCAACAAAGTGGGTTAGAAAAGAAAGGTGGGCATTGGACAAACCTCAAGACGAGGACAGCACTCAGCACAAGCCTGTTTAGGAGATACCTCTTCTTTTGGCACCACACTTGGTCACAAGTGTGCCCGGAGGTCATGGGAACTCCAGCGAGGCACCACCAGGCAACATGGAAAAAAGAGAAGAGAAACAGAACACACGTGTAGCAAATACTACAGGAGCCAAAAGGAATTGAACCTGCCATTTATTGAGAGCAAAAAGAAAAAAAAAAAAGAAGAGAGACAGAAGGAAAGTGTAGCAAATGCCATGGAAACCAAAAGAAATCAAACCTACCTTTTCTTAAGAGCAGCAGGTGGCACTGACACCCCATCAGCACTGGGCAGAATTGAGCACGGGGAAAGGAAGAACACCCGGTGACAGCAACGTGAGCACGAGGGACAAGCGACACCAAGCCCCAAAGGACCTGAGCGAGCGTGTGAAACAGGAGACGGCAGGGATCCACGTACCTTGGCGCAGAGCCTCAGGAGTGGACACTGGCATCCACCAGCGGCTGTGCTTTCCTGCTGCATCCAACAAAGTCTTTCTCGCAGTCCTCACGCTGCTTAGAAGAGCAAGCCGTGTCCGGAACCTCGAGCCAAACAGAATGCGACGAGCAAGGAGCTGGGCATCAATCTCAAGGCCAACAAGTCGGTCCCTCCCAAACCTCACTGCTCACCCAACCTCACTGACACCAGAAGCCCGGGCACACATGTGAGCCCTGCTATTCCCAGCCCTTCAATGAGCTCAGGCTGGGCTCTGGCTCCAGCCACTCCCACCCCCAGCTTCATCGCACCCACCTGTGAATCCACCCTGCTGCTGCCATCCTGCACCAGCTTGTCCATCATTCCTTCAGTCTCTTCTGTAACAGGATGAGGGGGAAGAAAGGAGAGAGAGAGCAAAGAGGAATAAGGGAATAGGGGACAGCAGAGAACAAAAGAAAAAGGGGGTGGGGAAAAAATAGGGAAAAAGGGAACAGTGACAGAAGAAAGGGGACGTGAGGTGGGGGAGAAGCGGAGCTGATGTTGAAGAAGCAGAAAGGGGAAAAAAGAACAGGAGAATGTGAAGAGAAATAAGGATGGGGGGAGAAAAAGGGGTCCAAGAGTGCAAGAAGAGATGAGGGAAGGCGGGGATAAGGCGGGATAGCAGGAAGTGCATCAGAAGGACAAAAGGAAAAGGGGGACAAGGGAGGGAAAAAAGGAAAAGGGGGATGAGGGAGGGAAAAAAGGAAAAGGGGGACGAGGGAGGAATCGGGGCCGTCGCACGCAGCAGCGCTGTCCCGCTGCGTGGAAACGCGAGGAGGCTGTGAGGCTCCCAGCTGCTCCCCTCTGTCCTCCTGCCGAGCTCAGCACTGCGGAAAATCGGCCGGATGAGCAGAACGACGAGCAGCGGGAAGGGCACGAATGGTAGGGGGTAATGAAGCAATTCAGAGGCTGTGTCTGTGTTGATGCTGAAAACCTGAGAGCCGCAAGTTCCGACCGCACGTTCGGGACGAGAGCAGTGGTGAGAAAGCAATGAAGCAATGAAGGCCTGCGTGCGTTTGGGCAGCAAAGATGTGCGTCTGCTGGCTGTTTGTGCGAGTGGTGAAGCGTCGCCAAAAAGGGGAAGCTGCAGCGCTCAGCCAATGAGGAGCCAGGGCAGGAAGAGCTCAGCAGCGGGCAATGGGGGAGCCAAGACACAGCGCTGCTGCTCGGGGCTCGGCTGCTCGCAGGAGCCGCCATCGCACTGCGAACGGAATCGGCTTTGGGGGAAACGAGGAGATGGGGAAGAAACAAGGTTTTGGGGTCGAGGGGGGGAAAAAGGAAGGGGGTGAAGAAGAGGAAAAGGAAAACAAAAAAGGGGGACGGGGCAAAAAGGGAGATGGGGAGGAAAAGGGGTAAAGGAGGCAAAAGGGGAAGAGAGGATGGGGGCAAAAAGAAGAAGAAGGGGGCGAAGAAGAGGAGAGGAAAAGGGTCAAAATGGAAAGGAAGACAAAAGGGTAAAGGGAGGA